GAAAAGTTTTATCATCCTTTTGGTTTCAACCAGCAATTGAGAAAATTTGGAAACCTGAGAAATTGAAAAATGTATGGTCCACTCAAATACTTCAATCTATATTTTTAAGGGATTTTTACATCTGTGCCCCTGGTTCCTTAGCCATACTCATTCATCTCCACGCTCTTAACATTTGCTCATTTTCTCCACTCTCTTGTCTGTAACCTTCAGAAATGGTCGCAAATGGTGGAAGCCGTTGGGTCAGTCCTTTGACCGTTAACTCTGACGAGTGGGGCTGTGCTAGACTGTGTCGCCCGTTGGACCTGAAAATTGGGGCCGCGTCGGAAGGTGCCGCTGTTCCGCCCATTGGGCCGTGGTTAGACTATTGGGCCCTGCGCGCGCCGCAACGACAGAAGCCTGCTATGCATGCACGACATGTCTAGCTAGCCTGCTATGAATGCACGTAGCTGAGCATGCCTGCATGCGCCGCTGCCCGTCGCCACGATGCGCTGACCGGCTTCTTTCTGCACGCGAGCCGCCACGGACACCCGTCCCAGTACTCGGAGCATCGCCGGCATGGAGGGTCGGCGCGCTCATCCTCTCCATCGAGGCGGTGTCCCAGGTGACCGCTATGGGGGGAGTAGGAGCCGCCTGCCCACACCCCACCCCAACCTCGGCACCGGCCCCGGCGCCCCGAACACCTATCGCCGCGGGCACCATCGGGCTGGGCGCCCTCTCCACCGAGGCGGCCCCCGGGGTAGTCACAGACGAGGGCCTCCTGCGCAACAGTATCCATAACAGCAGTCGCCCGCGGCGTAAATCTCTCCGGCCCGGAAATCACCCTAGGCGGAGTGCGATGCGTCCGTGACCCACAATCAAGAGGCAACAGCGGCGGTAACTCAAGCTCTGCTGGATCGTCCAGCTCCACTCTGTTGCTCCAAAGATGACTAGGAGCCGAATATGAAACAAAAGAACCAAAATGAACTGCATTCATCGGTGTCGTGGAGGATGACGCGCCCTTGGCAGAATTATCTGCCTTATCAGTCTGCGTATTAGGCCTCTTGGCCGTGTCCCAAGATTTGTCCTCAGTCCCCTTGTTCTGATCCCCGAGGGTCCACCCCCCTCAGTAGTGTCCATAACCTGATGCTCACCAGTCTCCTCGTGTGTCACCGTATCGTCAATCTCAATCTCTAACTCATATGTGACCCCGGCATGTGTCCACTTGACCACATCCGGCACAAACTCAATACTTACCACACTAGCAAGTAATCTCGCAACCCCATGCATGGGCACGAGTAAACGGCATGTCCACCTTCTCAGTCTTGCCAATGAGGGAACCCAAGCTCCATGTGACTAAGAAATTATTAAGCGGCTTAGGTGGAGCACCCGAAAAACGAACCCAAATGTGTTCCAATGGTGTGCCCTGAGGTTCTTTCTGTTTCCACTCGTCAAACTCCAAGATGATGCTAGTACTCGGAACTCTGCACATGCCGAATTTCAGGATATGTAATTGATCGTCCTTAGTGGGAAACTCTACCTTGTACGTCTGGTTCTCCAACCTGACAAGGTTCCACTGAAAGTTACCTGATGCCAACTCACGCAGCTGCTGCACAATCTATGCTTCAGTCATGACACCAGTAGTCACCTTGACCACTCCTGGGAAAGATCCCTCCAGTGCCTGTATTGATGGTGCCACCTCCGGTGACACAAAAAACATAAGCTCCTGGCAAGACACCCCGTATATCGAGATTGCCGGTTTGGGTCCAGAAAGCAAAGGACACTCACCGGTCACATACTGTGATTTAAGACAGTGATCGCACAACTCCTTAGTGCATTCGGCCACAAACTGTCCTGGCTCACCGCACCTATAGGAAGTCAGCTTTTTTCTTTTTGATTGCCCACTTAGATAATTTTTGACCTTCAGCCTTGTCACTGCCTTTGTCAGATACAACTTCGTTTGCATTGGACTTCCTTGGACCGGTGGTAGGTATCTTCACAGCTGCCAAAGCCCAAACAGCGTCCGCCGCAACCGCCGGCAGAGGGGGCGTCGCCACAGTGGGAGCCGCGGCCACCACGTCGGCCTCCACCTCCTCTGCTGCTTCGGCCGGCGGCGGAGGAGGTCTCGGTGGGGCTAGTATCTGCAATGAACATTTCAATGAAGACATCCTTTCATAGCAGCCGCACACACACTTGTCCTGAGATTTTTCACTAGTCGCTGCATATGTAGTAGTCCCTCCGATCCAAAATAAGTGTCGCAAGTTTGAAATTAGATTAGTTCGACCTTAGTTCAAAACTGCGACACTTATTATGGATCGGATGGAGTAGTTTTTATTGATTTGTGTTATACTTGTCGAGCATATGGTTATTCTATATGGAGTATATGGTTATTCTATATGTTAGTGGGACGTTTGCCGCCCCAGTGCGGGTCAAGCAGTCTCTTGGCAAGATGATGTTCCTGCTTCTCATTTTTCTTTTCTGGTCTTGCTTTTATAGTTTGTAGAAGACATTGGTTCCGTTGATGCATGAAATCCGAGAGGAGCCCTCTTTTTAAAATACAAAAATATATGTAATTTCTCAATAGATATGATCCGATGGGTGGATGTGATCCATGTATATATGCAGCTTCATTGCTTCTGCAAATTGTGGGTGGATGTGATGCGATGTATAAATACAGACTTCAATGAACCTATGCTCATATATAGCATTATCTATCTATCCGCAAACAAAAAAGAAAAATCTTCCATTGCCGTCTCAGTTCATCACTTGGACGTTCAGAACCCGAAGCCAGAACTGAACTCGGTTTATACCGAAAGCGACACAGTCAAGGCCATCCGCTGTTGTTACCCGTGAGATGTAATCTTGATGTTTTCTGTATCTGCATGTTTATTTTCTTACTGCATGTAGTAGTGTGTCTGTGCGGAGGTACGTGCGTACGAGTTGGATGTTTCAGTTCTGAGAGCATGCATAGAGAAAGTCCAAGCTGTGGCGTTTCAGTTCTGAGAGCATGCATGGAGAAAGTCCAAGCTGTGGCGTGAAGCTAGCTTGCCGTGTGAGACGGTGATGCATGAAGCTCTGAAGCCAACGACCTGCACAAGTTGGAGCTGATGGACAGGAGTTCTGTGTGGCCTTGTGAAGAGGTCTGTAGTATAGTAGATGTGGTCAATTCTTGTTAGCTGGATGTGTGCGTGTGTTAATGGCCTTGGTAAGTGCGTGCATGTGCTAGTTTGTTGGTTGTGTTAGTGGGCAAGTGTGCGTGCGTGCGTTGTACTTAGGTGTGGTAAAGAAAGGAGCTGAGATAGTCAAATACATGTTACTCCATTGTTCTTGAGTTGGCTATGTGAAGCATGCAGCCGTGAGAAAAAGGAGCTGAGAGAGTCAGCGCTCACATTACCAGCTACTCCCTTCGTTCTCAAATATTTGTATTTATAGAAATTTCAACAAATGACTACGTATGAAGTAAAACGAGTGAATCTATACTCTAAAATATGTCTACATACATCCGTATGTTGTAGTCCACTTAAAATGTTTAGGAAGACAAATATTTAGGAATGGAGGGAGTACAACTTAGGCAGCATGTCATCCACAAAAGGCATAGTCTGGGCCAAACCAACAGCTCACTTAGGAGCCCGTCTTCTTCACAGGTAACAACAAAAAAGATGAGATAGTTTGCAGAATTATGCTCACGTTACACATAGAAGCTGCTTTATTTGGCACTCCAGTGGTCCAGTTCACACACATGAAAAACCACAGTACAAATAAATGCTCGGTCGAGTCTGAACTCTGAAC